TACTATGGAAGTCAATGGGGACCAACAACTGTTTGGTTCTTCAAAATTCTTCAAAATATCTTTTATGTTTAACATAAAGAAACTCATGCAGGTTTGGAACAACATGAGGGTGAGTAAATGACAAAATGTTCATGTTTGGGTAAACTATTCCTTTAATTAGTAACATTTTGAGTCTCTAAATAGTAAACCCATAAAATATAAATGAGATTATGAGTTTTAGTTTCTATAAATGCATTCACAATGTAGTCTTTCCTTTCCATGGAAATGGACAAAAATATTGATTTCTCATCTAGTATGCACTAGGCTGTATACAAATATTTGTCCAATCAAATGCTCTCTAGAATGAGAATGTCCCTCTCCCTGATGCCACATGCTTTTACTATGTTGTGACATAAACTAAAGACAACTGAATATTTTAGATTTTAGAATATTTAAGAACAGGTAAAATGTTATATTCCTCGACTGCTTATTTAATCGAAATCTTACCGTTTCTCCTTTGGAGCCAATCATACCAGTGGCACCTCGAATTCCCTGCGATCCCTGAGAGCACATAATCGAAACAAGACTTTAAGACCAGATCAAGATATAGCTACTGAATCAATTTAGTAATTTAGTGTAGATTGCTTAAATGAACAGGAAATGCACATACATTTGGGCCTTGAGCTCCGACCTCTCCAGGTGCCCCCTGATCTCCCTCCTCTCCCTAAAAAGAGAAAGAAAGCTATTTTAGACACTGAAATCGTAAAAATCCTCAAAATACACAATGACTAGACAGAAAGACAGACAGACAGACAGACAGACAGACAGACAGACAGATAGATAGATAGATAGATAGATAGATAGATAGATAGATAGATAGATAGTAAATTTCTTTACTATCTACCTTGTGTCCTTGTTTTCCAGGCTCTCCAGCTTCTCCTTTCACCCCTTTATGACCCTGACAGTGGACAGGAGGACAGTTTATAAAATATATTATTTAAAATATATATTCAAAAGCATGGGCATTTATTATTTTTATATAATAATAACAATAATAATAATAATAATAATTGTATATGTATATTAATTTATCAAATGTATATTTTATTTTATAATTTATATTTTATTTACTTTAAATTTATATTAATTAATATCTATTACATTTTACTATATATTGATTTATATCAATTCCTTTTGAAATACTATCTACAGGAAAACTCACCTTCATTCCAGGCAAGCCAGGATGACCAGGAGCACCAGGTGGGCATGCGTTAGAGCACTTAACATCAGAAAAACAATTTAGAGTCATTTTATGTCACTCAATCCAGCCATATCTAATAGTCGTCTTGGAGCACTTTACTAAAAACACATTGTTCATCACAACATATTTCAACGTGGATGTTGAAAACAATATGGCTTTCATATGGTTTGCAACAAAAGGTTTGATGGAGCACCTAGTAAAATGTCCTCTTACCAGTTCCATTGTTCCACCCAGCATCCCTGCAGCACCCTGTAAACACATTCACTTTAGAACAGTTTGCACCCATTTTGAAGGAAATAAAGGGCAATTAGTTGATTAAGGAAGCAATTGGGACACCCTGTTGTTTCATAATTATAACTGCTGCTCTACATGATGTTCCCTGTGTTATACTGATGTCTCAGTCATACATTCTGTATAAATACAAAATGTACAGTTTTTACCTTATATTATCTAGCTTATAATCTTGTACCTTATTATCTAACATAATAAATATGTCTACTATGATCTGACTTTTTAAAATGACTTTTTGTTTGTGTAACATAATGAAGTCAGGATAATTCATGATAAGTCATGATTCATATTTTTCTCCTAAGATGAAACGGATGAAAGGTCACAGCCCTTGTGTAACTCTTGAAACATCACAGCAATACTCACACGGGGGCCTGTTGTTCCACGGGGTCCCTGTGGCCCTCTCACACCCATGGCTCCCTGTGATACAGAGAGAAGCATTTTAATTGATGTATGAATACTCTTTAACTATAAGCATTTAGATTGCTCACTTTTTGAATAAAATTACAAAATACCAAGTTTAAGAGAAATACTACAGTAAGAGTTCACCACAAAATAAATACCTAAATAAAATAAAACTAAGTTTAAAGTTTTAAAGTTCTTTATGAAACTAAAATATCTCATAGCCTTGCCTGACATGAGAGGAAGTATACTGAACTATTGAAGCAGCAGCTCCATGCCTTTACAATGAACTCTGTTGTTGATTTTTCATGGACAGAGTGAGATTTGAACTGTAAAACTATACATCATTAATATATAATAAATAGGTATTTTTATTGAAAAAAATAAGTTTAGATTTTTTTTTTTTTTTTTTTTTAATTTATATATTATGTTTTTATAGTTTTTGTTTATTTATATATTTATTTTAAGTCTCAAAAAATCTATCTCTTGCAATGGCTCTATTTGTGTGAATCTGGTCAAGAAACTGGTCAAGAACACATTTGATTTGTATTTCACCTAGAAATCAGTAGAAACAAGTGTGAAAAGAAAGCAAAAGAAAGACTACTTGTTGCTGCTTGTTTACATTATTAACAAATGACAAGGAAAAACCCAGAGACCAATCAGAAGAGTCACTTACAGGGAGTCCTACTTTTCCCTGCTCACCCGGAAGTCCTCCTGGTCCTGGTTGTCCCTGTGCAAACAAGTATCAAATTTAAACCTTTGTTTCCACCACCCAAAGAAAAGCCCACTCAACACACTGCTTTTTTAGTTATCATATAAAAACAAAAGCCACTTACAATTGGTCCATCAGGTCCAACACCCTAAAAAGACAGAAGGTTTATCTAATTATATATATTGTTTTCCCATTTCTTTGTTTCTCCCATGTTTATGCAAAAACAATTTATATTTACTGAATATGATAATGTAATCTCATACAAAAAGTAGATTTCTTTTGACTAACTGTAAAGATGCAGTGCGTTGGGTACAGATCAGCTTTAAGCCTGTTTACAACTACTTATCTGCTCAATTGTGTTTTTATTAAATACATGGGCTTCATAGATGTCGAAAGATGGCAAGATTAGGCTTACCGCCCCTCCTCTGGGTCCAGGTTTGCCAGGTTCTCCCTGTTTCAATTACACAAAGTCACTTTTTAGACTTAAACATAATTTAATTATACATAATTACATTTTATATATAAAAGTGTGTCCCACTTCACACTATTCTATGCTGTTTTTAGTATAAACCGTGTGATTAGTGTGTTCACAATGAAAAAGGGCACTTCAATGCAACAATGATGCACTTAATTAACTGAAAAAACTAAGTATGAAATGTTGGACACTTAAAGCACTCAACTGTCGCATCTTTAATTGCGAACTGGAGGGGGAGGAGCTATCAGACTCCGATGTTGGATGACAAAATAACCTTATACAATTCATACACTAGACAGTTGACTACAAAGTGCATAGAATAAGTGTATATTGCATAATTTGGAACACAAATTATATATACAAATACTGTTCTGAAAGTCACAGAAAATCACATTGCCGCACAAGTACTGTTATGAAAGTCACATAAAGCCAGAGAATCTTCACAGGCAGAGTTAGGTACTATGTTTGAGCATCGTTGAGTTAGTGAATCTGACTTCTGGCTGCACAGATCAGTGAGCACACAGACAGGATTAGGATCTAGTGGTCATGTGAAAATACTTATAATTCCCTCTGCAAGGCCAGTCAGTAGTACACTGATTTGAGCTCTGGTCCCTACTGAAGCAGAAAACTGAGAAGCTCATTAGTCGCTCACCTTTTGTCCTAGGGGGCCATCGAGGCCTAGTTCTCCTATGGGGCCAGTCAATCCCTGAAGAACACAGAGGGGAAATGTTACATTATTACCTCTTACAACAGCAAACGAGGAATCGAAAAGGATGTTTTAAGGGAGGGTTTGCTGCATGAAACTTTGTTTAGTCACTTTGCAAGCTGAAGTTTCGAACATTAACCAACCAGTGACTACTCAATTATCCACAGAATTTGATGCCAAAACAAAAACACCTGTCATTCAACACCTTTAGAAGACCTTCCGTCTCAAACCAGAGTTAATATATTTTCTTGACCCCTACTTCCATTTTCACAGGGAATCCACTTTAATTAAGTCCAGGCTCTGGGTGTCCGTGCTTAAACAAAAACCCTGTTGTCTGTTGGACAGACCTTTTTCCTGTGGTCTTTGCTTCAGTCCGGCATGAGAAATTCCCTGCATTTTTGACCCGTCTAAGAGTGCCGCCCACCATTGACTGAACTCTGCGAAACTGAGGTTTGTTTTCCCATAGAAGGCTATGTCAATTTTAACATGTTATGAAGAGAATCCAAAATATGTTTTAATGTGTTTCCTTACATCAGCTCCAGGTAATCCAGGAAGTCCAGCAGAACCTGGTTTTCCAAGATCTCCATCAGGACCCTTTGGTTTCAAATGACAGTGTGTAAGATGCAACAATATCCTAAATGTAGCAAATTATAATAATACACAAGAACACTGATATTTACAGCCGAACCATCTTCACCGGGGTCACCTCTCTCGCCCTGCAAGAAAAATATACTTTTAACTCTTCTATAATGAATAATGTTTTGGTCACTGAATTGCTTTATATTTTAAATTATATTCACATTTTTGAAATTCAACTCACATCAATACCGTCTATTCCAGGCACACCGGGAGGACCAGGAGGGCCGGCTCCAGCCCTCTGTTCAAAAATAGTAAGTAAACAATGCTGTTATATTATCCTACAGTGAGGTCTTAGATGCATTAATACAAAGTTCATGCAATATGAAAACTGAAATGATCCAGCGGGTAAAAAAAATATACTACAGATCATTTTTAAGTTTAAGCATGCAAAAAAGTTTTAGAAAACAGTTCAAACACCTGCCGTGCAACAGGTGTGCATTTGCATCTTACAACAAATGGACCATACAGATGCAAAAATGCAGTGCAGCCTATAATATCTTACAGCATTTGTGATTCTATTTATGAATGCAAATAGTTTCTTTCTCTTACATATGCTGAAAATACAAGCGCTCACCTGAAACTCTGCCTCGGATATCTAAACGAAAAAGAACAAAGAAGGGTTGCATTTACCTGTGCTGTGCAAATGATGGTTATCTCCAACAAAATCAGTAAAAAGGGCCCACGCACTCCTGCAGCGCGAGCCATCATTTCCCCAAAGACACAAAAGCCCATGTTTTCTGGGATCAGTTGGGTTGACGGAGCCCCCGACCAAGAAACCCAACTAAATCCCCTTTCAACTATCTGAACTCAAGGGAGACCATAACCACAGAGTACTTATACATATGCATGAGGTGGTTTGTTCTGGGTCTGTGATTGGAGGACAGTGGCACAGTGAGAGGAGGAGTCCGGCAGACATTCGAATAGACGGCGGGAAATTTTACTAGACGGTGACATTTGACCTCTGTTAACAAACACTATTTGGTCTTTGGGAGACAGAGTGGGAATGCTGGAAAATAGTAGAGCTGTACCATTACATTCCAGTTTTTTAAGTTTGGGTTTTAGTTTCTTAGATTAAAATTGTGATGTTAGACACGTCTCACCTCTCTCCTTGCAGGAAGGTCGCCGCATGTGTCTCTCTGCGGGATGTTTAAGTCGCAGTGGATCAGCATTGACTGCAGCTCAAACTGAAACAACAGACAAACAACCATCAAAAAGCATCATGATAATGTGAGCCTGTGGGGTGTATTGAATTGTTTAGCATTGGCTTATTATGTTCAAAAATGTGTAACGTTCAAAAAGAGATTGATTCGTTTTTTGTTAAAAAAGAACGTTTTTATGCTGCTCTTTTAGTTGAAAATTATTTTTGCAGAACAATGAATTTAAATGAGTTTTCTTGTTGATGGTAGTGGTAGATTGAGCTCATAATATGTCAATATATCATTCAGTGACAATTTAAAAGTTACACAAAAGTTACTGAGATCATTACTTTAAGGAAGACACAAACCTCATGCCTGTCAATGTAAAGATACACGCTAAGTTTTTACACTACCGTTTAAAAGTTTGAGGTCAGAAAGTTTTTTTTTTAAAGAAATTAATACTTTCATTCAGCAAGGAAGAATTAAATTGATCAGAAGTAGCAGTAAAAACATTTATAATGTTACAAAATATTTCTATTTCACAAATAAATGCTGTTCTCTTCAACTTCCTGTTTATCAAATAATCCTGAAAAAAATGTATCATGGTCTCCACAAAAATATTAAGCTGCAAAGCTGTTTTTAACATTGATAATAAGAAGAAATGTAAATTAGAAGGATTTCTGAATGATCATATGTCACTGAAGACTGGTTTAATGGCTGCTGAAAATTCAGCTTTGCCAGCATAGGAATAAATTAAATTTTAAAATATATTAAAATAGAAAGCAGGTTTTTTTAAATTGTAATAATATTTCACAATAATACTGTTTTTACTGTATTTTAGATCAAATGCAGCCTTGGTGGAAGTCTTTATTCTTTCAAAAACACTTAAAGGAATCTAATGTTTGAATGGCAGTGTACATACTTAATGTTGATAATAAAAAAATAAAAAAATTGTGGACATAATAATGCACCAGTTACCCGCAAACTTGTAAATTATAGCCTATGAAGTTTCTAAACAGCTACATAAATAATTCTGCAAACATATAGAGCCAAATGTATATTTATACAAAAATTGACCTTAAAGACCCTTGATTTTATAACATACAGGTTCTAAAAGAAAGAGAAGTGCAGATGTTTGGTTTGCATCTAACTCGACGTTGCAAATGATATTGCTGCGAGGAAAAATTCTGACTTTTTAAGCAGGTCAGCTGTCCGACTAGAACCTCACTGCTAGAATTCCCACCTATCTGCTGAAATGTATTTGGCAAAATCCAAATCCATTTAAAGAGACAGTCTGCTGCTGAGCCTTCAAACTGCCTCCAAACTCACATCTCATAATGACACAAAAACATTGTGACTTCAAGAAGAAAATGTGCATATGTGCTTATAACATGATGTTTTGGACATATTGTATATTTTAAAGGGCTTTGAGGAACATTTAAATATCAGGGTACTAAAGCAGTAATGAAAGGCCTTATGGAAACACATAAATAGATTTGTAAATGTGTAAATATGGATAAGAAAGAAAAGTTTACCGGCACAGCTATTGCTGAATTGTCCTTCAGTTTTCCAATATGCGTGAATCCATCTAGGTTTACTTGTCCTCTGGGTGCCAGCTGCTGTGAATCTGTTGCTGTACAGTCTGTTATCAGTCTCACAGAACCTTTTTTGACAAGCAATAAAATCTTGTGCCACTGAGAATTGAAGAGGAGGGCTTGGTAAGGGAATAAAGCCATCATCTGTCTGTTCTCTTGGGTTCTGTAGGAGAACTCCACAGACAGGGCCTCCCCGTTGAGTCTGACTGCAAGCTGTTCGTTTCCATTCAGATCTTGCATTTGCCACAAATTCCAACTCTTACTCTGTGTATTTCCACTCATTCGATAGGTTGCAGAAAATGTAAATTCCTCAGGCAGCCCCATGGGAAATGCAGATCTGATTGAAGGAACAATATCAAGACTAATTTAGACCAGATTACGAGCAGAAATGATATCTGGACTTATCCGACTGTACTGATTGAAGTCAATAACATATTTTACAATATTTAGATGACATGGAAACATACTAAGCTGAACATTATTAGCATGGTTACTATTTACAAAAAAAATTGTAGTGGTTCTAATGGAACTGTAATGGTATCAGATGGTAATACCACACCATGGCACTGCCACTGAATGATTATTGTAATCATGTACCATAGTATTTTTGTCTTCCAAAAATTTGAAATTTGAAAAATAATGCTGCAATGTTCCATGGAATGATGCAATATTTTTTGTATTGGTTTGTTATCAATGCATTTAAAATATAATAATAATAATTATGCAAATAATTTTGTTTTCTAATTCAGCACCATGGACAGAGGAAGTTCCATCAATGACCAGTAGATGTCGCCACATGTCAACGGTACAAGTCATTTTCAAGCGTTGCCCTGGTTACTGGGTTAGAGATTTTCTGATAAGGGGGAAATTGCAAGCACTAAATCTGTATCACTGGGGAAAGCAATAGAACAGGGGCTCTCAATCAGGGGCTCAATACCCACTAGGGGGCCTCAGCACACTTCCATGGAAGCCACAAGATGGCTTAAAATTATTTAAGGACAACACCAGGTTTAAAATGAGCTAACAGAACTAAAATTAAAATATGAACTGGAATCATATTTCTTAATTTAATTTGTTGCCTTAACAACAGCCATTTTTAAGCTCCAGGGTTCTTATGATCTTGGAAAACCTGGATATGAGGGAAATTTTTAAAATGTTGGTTTGTAGACCAGGAAAAGTAATGGAAATGATTGATCATTTCACTTCACTTCAATGATTGATGAACATTTTTTAAAGCATTTATATAAATGTAGTCAAGCTCATTTACGATGTGTGAGTAAATACTAATGTTATCACAGACTAGAAAAGTAATGTAAAGTCATTGGTAATAAAAATTGTAAACCATGCAGGACATTCATTTATTGGAATTATGGAATTTAATTATTTAAATTACTTACAATCTTATATAATTATTTTACTGTATTGCCACTCCAATGAGAAGCCTTGGAGCTAAAAAGGTTGTTAACCACTGCACTAAACCGTCAGTTTGGTGAGTCTTATAAGCTGCCATATAAAGACTCTGGCTGCTGGCTGTACTGTAAACCTGGACACACCAAAGGTCTAAAAACTGTTTTTTTTTTTTCTTTCCCATTTCTATTTACTATTCCATGTCTACCACAACAGTTCTATTTCTCAAATTTAATTAGCAAGGCAGGTGTTCAAAGAGTGCTGATATAATGTCTATGAGTGAGTAATAATTTGCTCATCCATTCAACAACACTTATTAATTCAGGAAAGCAATTGTGATGTTCAGAGACACTCGTATTGATTATTCTTTGACTTTGATTGTAGTGTAACTGGCAATATTGTATATAAATGAACTTCTTGTCTATTGAACTATTGTAAGAAACTAAATCACACTCGGAGTCACACTTGAAGCTGTTCCAAGTCCTTAAATTAATTAAACCTTTTGCAATATTTACTTGGATTTTCTTTAAAAAAATACATATATTTTTGGAAGCAGACTCCAAATATAGCTCTATCCAAAATTAATATGTTATGCAAACACTACTGTTACCACACAAAAGCAGTTTAACATCTCCATAACTGGTCACCATTCAGGTAAAACAGCTTCTAGTTTCCATTTTGGGATATCTCACTGTTCTTGAGCATAAGTTTTAGTCTTCCCCCAGGTGGAGGGTCTCTGTTAGAGGTGTTTACCTGGTGTTTATCCTGAAGTTGAACTCAGGGCCAATCTTATATGCAATATGCTGAGATGTCGTTCCAGACACCTTCTTCACCGTCCCTCTCCTGGCCAACTCGGCAATGCTGAACTGAGTCATTATGTAAAATCCTATGGGATATTAGAGAGACTCAAGTTAAAGAACAACATAGTTAGTCCAAATGTATGTACTGTTTTTGAGATGTTTACCTGGAAATAGGCCATTCCCATCTTTAGTTTGAGGACACAGAGTTTGGTCCGTCTGCAGGTGACTCATACTGGAAAATGGCATGACTTTGAAAAAATTGCATTATTGTTAAATAGCAAATGAAACCTTTTTTTGCAACTTTTATTGCTTTGCTCAGTCTTTCCTTTTGTTTCTTTACTCCTCCTCCCTGTGTTTGTGAGTTTGATGAACACACATTGCTTGTGGGAGATCTGTGTTGACTGTGTGAGCAACACAATCACACTGTGTTTGAAAAGCTGAGCCACCTTTGTCTCCTTTGAGTTCAAGCATTTTATTGTTTTCACTTTTTTTTTCCAAGTCTAAAATCTTAATGCTCTGAATTCTTATTTTATACCAAACCAGAAACCCACCAAAATCACTTATAGTTCTAAATCATTGATCTTGAAGATACTTACTGTGTGCATGAAGACCAGTGCAGAAGCATCGTTTGATCACATTACACAAAAGGTAGAGACAAACTTCCCTAGAAAATGAAAGTATATGAATTGTTTGTGATTGAGAAATAAATATTTTTTAGTATGCATCAAATATATAAATATAATGTAAATTAATTTGTGCATTTAGGTATCCAATTATAATTAAAGAATACATTTGAATGAACCTCTTGAAATATCCAATACATACAAAAACGAAGAAGCATGTTATGCATTACC